TTCTCTGGCGTTTCTTTCGGCGACACGCTACCCATGTTAGAACCTATTCCCTTATACAGCAGACTGACCACTCGCTTACTCTGGCTGCAGGCCTACTTGGTACAGCATTTTTACGAGCGCCGCGGAAGCCGAGTCTACAGCCTTCTCTCTGGATCAATGCAGGGCGGAGATGGTGACCAATGTGTAAGTTCTGTCATTGTTAAACAGGGAGGCAACATCTAAAGATATGTCTGCAGCTCGGACGAAATGCTAACGCCCGTGTTGGCCTCTCCTGCTGTGTGGACATTCTCCCCACTGACCACCTGGTGGGCTGGCGAGTCCGCTCAGTTCATATTCCGCTGCCAGAACTGCAGTGAATTGACCAATCGCTTCCGTGGAGGAGAACTCCTAATGTCTCCGCTAATCTCGACATCGTACCCCGAGTATCTTGACAAGACATTGACCATGGCAAACTTGTCTTTGATCGGGGTCAAGTGCAGCGAGTTCGCTTTGGATACCGAGAGGGCTCGCTTCAGTAACTACTCTTCTCTTTTGTCCGCAGCGGGCTTCGCTTGATGTCTTCGCTTGATATTGTCTGCTACTTGTTCTCTTCATGTTTTTCTCGTTGGTCTTGGAATCTATTATCGGTGATTCTACAACGAGCCCTTAGTTGAAAGCAGCGTTTCTGAATCGCACTGGTATTGTGAAGTAGGTGCGTTCGACCAGCACTGGGATTCCACAGCGGATAGAGCCTTTCGTCACCCGATCCATTTTAGGCGGAACAGCGATTTCGGGAGCCTGGGACCTGTGACAAAACTGCCAAGTGCTCAACCCAGCTATGACCAGTGGCTGAACGCTTGGTTGAAATAGTACAGTAGTGGATTCGGGGGCCACCAAGCCGCCATCAATAGATGGTCCATCATCAATCTTGTTCACTGAACACATTTTGTCGCGGCGGTCTGGCTGGCGTTCACTTTGTGAGGAAACATAAACCAGAGCCTGGCCGTATCGCACGAATTCTTCCACGGAATATATTGCGGCGATAAACGTTTAACCATTGGCATGAGGAGGTCGGAAGATTGTCCAACACCTTACTTTAAAGCATCAGCATCTGCAGGAGTGTGGCGCCTCATCTATATCAGGACTCGTGGCTATTCTCATAATCGATTGTCATCATTGGTCGAATACGTGAAAATTGGACTCAAATAATCTCGTGGACTTGGGCGAAAATCATCACTCAAATGTTCTGCAACGAATGAGCAACAGGAATGTGGGATGTTGGAATGTATTTATATGCGAATCAAGCAGTTCCGTGGGCAAAATTCGAACGTCGCGGAATAATGGCGAAAATCAACAACGAAAGCCCCGTCGGTTGAACGTCGAAGAGAGGAAATTTAGACGCACACACACAACTAATTTAGCAGAAGAAGGATGAGGCAGATTCAGCCACCGAATGCGAGATATGGATACCAGAGTCCACATTAGTGGCCGGAGTGGTCGAGAGTCCGGAGCAGCCGGATCGGGGCACTGGCTGTCCAAAGCAGACAGAGTAAATCCAAAGCCATCGGGAGAGGATAGAGTGAACGGAGAACGAGTGGGAAGAATAACCTGCAACAGAGCGAGGATAATCATCCTCCAATTCCCAAGGCGCGATATAGCTGTTTTCAAAAAAGTAGTCGGGTTTTGAAGGAGTGGTGTTCCTCGATTCTTGCTTACCTCTGTTTGATGCCGAGTCTCCTTCTGCTCCACTTTTCCTTTGCTCTCATAGTCTAATGTTGCTTCTTGCGTGCCTAGATCTACAGCCTTAAAAGCGGTGAGCTCGTCACCAGCGCGTAGGTTGCGGTGTAGTACATTTTTATTGGCCTATTGTACTTCTGTGCGTTCCGAAAGGTGAGTATAATATATTTATCCTGGCTTATCCCTGGGCAATCAGAGGCCGTTTCTGGCCAAATCCGGCCCTTGGAATGAACGATTTTTCCGCGTCAATATATGGACTTGATGAACAGCGCTTACAGGGTCTTCACACGACTGATAGTAAATCTTCACACAGCACCGTTACTCATGTGCGGGATGGCAGTGTGAGAGTCTTGTCGGATGGTCTTCTATAAATTGAAACCCCAAGGCTTGATCATTTCTCCCTATTTCACCGACAGCGCTCTCTGACTTCACTAGCTCCACTTACCGACTTGCGCTCGGCCATGGACGCGTTTCCCCAGGAGCTCACCGACAAAATCATTGATTTTGCCCATTCTGATCCAGTTGCCCGGGGCAAGCCGATGAAAACTTGTGGCCTTATATCGAAAAGCTGGGGTCCTCGCACCAGATTCCACCTATTTTCTAGCATCTGCATAGATGCGGACAATCTCGGCGGACTCGTCGATATTGTCGACTCCTCGCCCTGCTCCATCCTGGCTTTTATCCGATATCTTCGACTGCGCTATGTCGGCAGGGCTTTCGACGCCGCGGAGTTGGCTCGGATACACCACTGCCCGAATTTATCCAGCCTTAAGATCGGATATAGTGGCACCGGCGCGGTGTCGAACTGGTTGGATGCGCAGGAATCCTTTCAGCCTCATATCCGGGCCTGGAGCACATACTCAGAGGTCACCCTTTCCTGCTTGCAGATCCAAATTCCGATAAAGATCTTGCCAATGGATGTCGTTCTTGACCTGTTGGCCTGCACCCCGGCCATGAACACTCTGTCGATCTGGGGTCCCACTCGCCTTCTCCCGGCGACGCCCATAACCTCACTCACCCAATCGGCCCCTCTTCACCTCGCACATTTGGCGCTAGACGTCCACGAGCCCGGATTATCATTCATCTCTTGGATGTGCTCTCTTCCTGTCGTGCCACTGCTTAAATCACTGCGATTTTCGGCACACCTGCAGAGCGCGGAGGACGAAGCAGCTCTGGAGGAATATTTCAGGTCTCAGGGATATGAATTGGAATCCATACATCTAGATCTTGGGTTGACATGGGAAGGTCAGAAACACTCTCATCCACGTTTCATAATAACTGACATGGAGTCAGGCCACGTGGCCCTTTACGAGCGCATCCTGAAATACACTCCGAGGCTCAAGAAGATTTCCTTTTTCTGTGAATCATTGTTCAATATTCTCGAAATGTTCGCCGTCATGCCTGAATCCTTGGAATGGAATGCGATCGGGGTTGTGGTTAAAGAGGTTGCAAGGTGGGATTTAGAGTGGATTGCTCTCGACAAGGCCTTGGCAGCGCCGAAGTTCTGTAATTTGGAACGATTCTCCCTGGTCAACAGGTCAAACTACATACCCCCGTTCACAGACGAGGTCAGGGGATTGATACCGCTTGCTACTGCGCGCCGGATCCTCGTGTAAATATCCGCTCGTTCGGTCGTCAATTTGTTTGTATCTATGCTCTGTATTACTGCAACCTCATTTGCATTTTTCTCTCTCCTGGATCAGAAGAAAGTTGAATCTGGCTGGATTATCCGAGTCTTTGCGTAGTACGCTGCCCGCAATCATGAGCAGCGACCTATTCAATGTCGATACACCGGGGCTGTGAAGTGAGTTGGGTGATTTTATGCTTTCTTGCAGTGCACACAAGAATCTGGATTGAGAAGCTGACGTCAGATCTGGACTGACAAAGAGAACAGAAAAAGGATACCCTTAAGATCCACGTCGCCGGACGGATTCGAACCGCCAGTGTCCCCATTTATGTATCAATATTTTAAGCGTAAGTGAGGTAGAGCGATTAGGGGCTGCGGACTTGAAATTTGAGCCATCCCAAAATCAAAAAAAGATCAACCGTTCCGAGGTGGAACAACTGACTGGTTTACAATCCAGAGGGAGGGGATGTAAGACACGAGATGGATGGCTACTAAGGGGCCAATACTTTCAGAGAAGAAAAAAAAGTACCTTGTCTCCACTCCTATTTCCTTGAGCGGATTCGAACCGCAGTCTCCCAATATTATAGCTCGCGAAGTGTGCGGAGGACTTGTAGTAGGTCTTGAAATGCAGGTTAGATAGCGAGCCTGCCCCTGGTCGATGAGGAATATAGAGAGGCAGGCGGCCGCGGAAAAAAATAGGGCGATGTTTAACGTTTGACGTAACCCCCGTCTCTTCCCACGAAACCATAACCAAATTAGGCTGTGGAAGCGACAACCGTAGTCCACGACGGTGCCTAGCTTGAACTGTGAACGGATATCGTGAGACAGGTGGATGAATGAGGAGAGACGGGGTGGGCGAGACTGCCGTAGCATGAATTGAGCGGATATCGTGTCGTGAGATGGGTGGGATGTGCGATAAAAAAAGGCGGCGCCTGCATGCTGTCACGGGAGATAATTCCGCCTACCTGAGGCCTGTGACGAGCCCGAATGCTTGGGCACGCTGCCGCCGAGTCACGCTTCCCTCCCATGCAGCTGGTAAGATAACTCCTAAATGACTGGCTAGAGGTTGCGACTTGTTACGCGTCGCTCCCTCTCGCTCTGATTCACCCACTGACTATGTTTCTAATTTCATTCTGCCTGGAATTAATATTGGCTTGCTAGTTTACGCTGTAGTACAAGTGTTTATGATAGAAAGAAAATTAACATCAAGTTGTACTTCAATAAAGCCAGAATTAATATTCTCAACTGATATCACTACACTCCGAGTCCATGCAGAAAACACTCAGAAATGCCAAAAATATTTTCGTGTTTACAAGCTTGAGCCTTTATAAAACCGTGTAACCCACGGGGAAAGTAATAATTCCGTAATAATATCATCCAGTAAACAGCAATAATTGCAGAGATTGCCGTGCCAGAATTGAACGCTGGCTCAGCGTGTTTAGCGCACAGGATACTCAGCAGGTCAAATGTGAAGCTTGGTTAGTACGTTTGAAGTTCGGTCAAAGTCTACGGTGATGGCTCGAATTTGGTTGAGTTCAATCTTCAATGCAGGTTATATGTAGGGATATCGATGAATTATGTGCTTCACAAATACTACCGCCTCGCAACTACAAATTGCTGCCGCGTATTATCGCAATACATCGAGTTTAGATTTGATACCTCTGTGGTCTAATGGTACGACGTCAGAAGTCAAGTTGCATTTTGCAATCTGGAGATCGCGGGTTCGACTCTCGCCAGGGGTATTTTTTAAATGCCTACATTAAAATTACCCATAATGTATCTCCTCCGCTCGCGTACCTACTTGTTGTTCCGGTGCTGCAGTCCAGACGAACGTTAGGCGTTCGACATTTTTCATTTAAGTGATCCCCACTGTCTTTGCTATGTATATTACCTTCTTCATCCTCAGTCATGCCGCCGAACTCAAGACTTATCTGGAGCTCGGTAGAAACCTGTGAGCACTCAATCTTCTTTCAAAAAGAAAGAGCAATAATACATCCTATAAGACTTGGGAGATTGGAGGCTCTTTATTTAACTCCTCTACGGCTATTACTTTGGCACACACTGAGAATTACCATACGCTTTGTATCTGTGTGCACATCCATGAATCAGCATTCGCATATTACAGCCCTCGAAGATCCATACCCTGGGACGCACTCCGGAGTGCACTCCGAATTTCCGTTAGTTTGGAGGCGGCAGATCATGCGCCCATGCGCGCCGCCGCCATGGCTGTTGATCATCGCCGGGCACGCCTGCCCCGCCGGTCCGTCTGGGGTGCTGATAGGGAGACATATACAGCCTTTACGGCAGGGCCCCACTGCTACTCGCTCCTGCGTCGCACATGTCCTGAGCACACAGAGGAAGCAGGTGCCTTTCACGGCTTGGAATCTAAGTGGCAATGAATCAGTAGGCAAATCAACACAGAATGCAAAACGCGCACCCGACGGGTCAGCATACCGCGTAGGGCTGCACGTCCTTGCATTCCACCGTCGCGGGGTTCGGTATGCTCGACGGGGGCCACGAGAACTTCGTGATCGAAGCCGCAAATGCCCACGACGCGTCGTCGAAATCAACGGCTGCGAAGCTTACAGGGATGCTCGGACTCGCGCGCTACGACGGGTCCGCCCCCACTGTCTCCCGTGTGCCATCCGAGTACGTTATCTCGATCGGCGCGCGCAGCCCCGCCGGGTTTTGGGCGGACCCGATATTGCCTGCGTCCACCGCAAACACATTCGCGCACGGCCGGAGCGCGACGCAGAGCCGCGTCGTCGTCCGATAATCGGTGGAGGTTCCGACCTCACGCCCGTTGACGTAAAGCACGAACGAGTCGTCGGCGGTGATGCTTATTTCCGTGAGCAGCGCGGTTTTCCGGGGCGAGGCGGCATGTGTGGGGCGGAAGACGCAGCGGTCGGGGGGCGAAACAGCCAGGTCCGCGCTCCAGATTCTTTGCACGTTGGCGAATGTCAGAGCGGCGGCGGGGTCTTCCGCTGCAAACGTGAATAGGGAGTTGAAATGAAATAGAAGGGGCTCAGGACCTCCTTCTGTGAAGCTCGCCGCAATGAGCAGGAGATTGGAAAACTGCGAGCCTGTTAGACGGGAAGTGAGAATCAACACGGGAAACGCACTGTACCAAGCCATCAAGAGTGCAGTGAGGTAAGGGGAAGTTAGTGGGTTGATTATTTAATCTGAGAGTACACTGAGAGATATATGCTCGGCTCCCTATCGGTTCGGTTTTAAGGGGGGTAATCCATAGTCTCTCGTAGACAGACGCTTTAAGTTTAACAAATGAACCTCGTACCGGTAATCCACCGACATCATTCCAGAATTCGACACCACGGTAGATGTCGCAATCTAATGGCGATTTTTACCGGCTCTTTCCGATATTGAGGTTCATGAAACCAAGCCATTACAGCGAAGGAAAGGATAACACGTCCGGCGGCGGTGCAACGAGTACTAAGTGACAAAGTCCACAGAAAGCGGACTCCGAGTGGAGTCCAGATATCCAGATTCCATACACCGTCATTTGTCAGACACGTTCCCACCACCTGTGTGCGAGGTGTGTGTTGCACGTTGTTGAAGAATGGCCAGCAGGTGCTGGGCAGGTTGATGCCAGGTTCGGTGGCCTATGGCCACAGACTGTGGCCAGGTTGACCTGGCCGCCAGCTGGAATCCCGATCTGGCGAGCACCTGCGACTATAAATTGAATCAATTTTGTTTTGAGGTTTGTTTCGGATCGCCCACAAAGAATGGATCAATTGTGTATTCAATATGGCTACAGAAGGAAGATAACAAGCGAGAGTCGATACTGAGCGCATACGCCAGCACGGCCAGTACCGAAAGAGAAAGCACTTCAATAAACATATGATTCAGTACAATGCATACAGAGTACGCAACGACACACCGACAGCCTTTCAAGCTCACGAGTAGTCCGAAAGTTGCTGCTTGCAAAGGTAGTTAGTTGCCTGCAAACAAATAGTCAGTGAAAGACGAGAGCGATAAAAAAGGGCTACCATTGAGTCGTAGTATCGATTTCTCGAGAATGTCCACTACAAGAGAATGTCCACTGCAAAAGCCAGAGAGACGCCGAAGGTCTCCGATGTCGAGAGTGCTGGGAACGACCGCAGCGTGAAGGAACTGATTGAGGATATTGATGTCTTGCGCAAGAGAAGGTAGTTCTTGCAGGACAGGCGGGACTTCTTCGCAGTAGAACGGGAGCGCGATACGAAGCAGAAACGGGAGTTTAAGGACTCTTGAGTTTTTGACAAAATGCATTGGCAGAAGCCTCTTGAAAGGATAGTTGCCTTGGGAGCTTTGAAGGCTACAAGCCTCCTCGGTCTTGTGGGATTGTTTCTCTCGACTCTCAAGCACAGTGGGCTTAATTCTTGAAAAAGACTTAAGTGCCGTGGGCAGTGGGTTGGACCGGTGCCGGGTCACTGGGCCTTGAAGTAGAGCTGGTATAAGCGGCGAAGGGTGTGTGTGGTGGTAGGGTGGGAGACGATGCATGTTGAGGGAGGTCAAGGACGATGGTGGGTGAAGGAAAGCGAAGGAGGCTTGGGCGAGATCAACATCACGTGGTATTGATGGCGGAGTTTGATCGCAAACGCAAACGACCGCCGTAGAATGTAGTACTCGGCACTTGTAATGTGGCTTCAGTTCAGTCTTTGTCACAATATTGTTCAATCTGCACCTAGCCGCCCAACTTTTTTTGCACCACATGCGGTGAAGTTGCCGCCTGTAATAATTTAATGAAGCGAGCTTAAGGAACTGACCCTCAGTTCTAGGCTGAATGGTTGTCGGTAATTTAAGGTGCAAATCCAGCAGTATAAAATCCGGACTGAAAGATATATTTATTTCAATTCCAACTTTTTCTGGGATACAGGTGGGTGGCCAGCTGTCAGAAAGCTGAAATGCGGGCTGCCAAAATTAGGTGGCAGCTACCTGGTTGCCACCTGTGAGCAGGACACCAAACATGTGGTCTCTACCTGAATATCTCAGGCGGCGGCAACGTGCCGGCACTTTGGCGGTGTACTGTAGGGGCGCAAGTTTCGACGACACATATTCTGCCCATTCAGAGCCAGTGAGTAGGGTGAATGTGGCCTCAAAGACAACAGTACTTGTCGACGAGAAATGGCAGTGGTAAAAGCGGGAGAGGAGCTGACTTGATCCGCCATCAAACGTACACGTGTTATTCAAACTCCGCCTGGTGATCCGTACTGCCCCGCAGAGTCTTTCGTCAGGTGTCCCCACCCAATTGAATTGAAATACTGCTGTTGAACGTTGAACGTTGATTTCTTGTTTCGATTCGCCGTTCGGATGATCTGAACAGCCACATCGCAATTTTCATGTGGTCTGTAGGCCATTGCTTACGCATCGCAGTACGAGTCCATTTCCTTTTTAAAACTCCGGATAAGTCCGATTTAAGGTCCGATCCACAAACAATGCGCTTTGAATGCATTCTGCTCTTCAAATTTTCACTCAGTCAACATGGGATGAAGTTATTAGTAAAATATTGATTGGTGTAGGAGAAGGTGAGTGCGTAGCTAAACAAAACCCACACCTCCGCGCCGCCCCCAACCCCGGGGCCACATCTGCATAGCTGGCGGTGCATAGATTTCTAGCCCCATGTTTGTGTAGATTAAGCAAAGGAATATCGGGCAACAATGACCCTTCGGTGTAACAACGGCAAGTGCTGATGCTAGGTCTTTCCGGTCCTATCCACGGAGACGGAGGTGAGGTGACCAATTTCTGGAGTTGTTTGAGTGAAACACACAAGACCACGAAGGCCCATGCGCTTGATGCCGACTTGAGTCGTGAAGACGAGGTATTCATCTAGAATTAAATTCTGAGCTTCCACAGTGATAAATAGTCCGAGGGGGGGGGATGTCTTGCACCACGGTTACTCTCCTTGTTCGCGTTGCTATTCCACTTGAAGCACATCCCAGGCAGCTAGAGCTCGGTTGCGAAAACATGTGGCCAAACCATGCCGATAAAGGTATGTACTCCACTTGGATGTATGGCATGAAGAGCGCGGATATTTCCAACATCCACTATTTGGATGAGCACACTGATTTCACCAGGATTTTTTGAAGACAACTAGGGCACGTGGAAACTGCGCTAGTGTAGCTTTGCATGTTCGTTACGGCAATATACAAGGCATCTAATCTGAGGCCGCTCGCTCAGATGCGGGATTTTAGAGATGCAGGATTCGTCGGACATTGTCTCAGGCGGTTTCTGGTTGATCTGGCTCGTTTGTAAGTTAAGGATCCATAGACAGAGCAGGGCATTCATTTGCGTGAATTTTGAGCACCAGGCAAGAGGGTTGTCATGCAGGATAAAGGACAAAGGCACGAAAAGACTGTCGTAACTGCAACTATAGTTGCGACTGTCCCAAATTAGACCTAGGGGATTGCGAGCTTGCGCTGTGGGATTACTAGCACCAGACTCATTGTCAACTGCGGTCGGCCGTTTGGCGCACTTGGCACTCGAGTTGGTGGTTAAGTTGTTCACAACTTTCCTCTTTGTTGTCATTGCGCTGTCTAAAAGAGCTGGATCTCTGTCTTTGGCCGAGAGAGTGGTTCAGGGATGCCATTCGCCGTAGGAGATGTCGCCAGCAGGTTTGTCTTTTAACAGGCTGAATTCAACTGCTTCGTGAAAATGAAGAGGGTCGACCTCGGTGCCTGCGACGGCGCGACAGATTTAGATGATGTGTTGATCGTTCAACCGTTCGGCGTTGCGAAAAGGACCA